CAACAAAGACATGTCATCTGTGTGTACTCCGTGGGTGTCTGGGATGCCTGTCAATCACCCTGGGCTCTATAGGCTGCACAGACACGAGGAGCCAAATAGGGCTCAGAGGGTCAGCTTCATGAATGCAAAAGCAGGACTGGGTAAAGCAGGCCAAAATGGGGCCCCCTCACCCCTCCCTGATGAAGTGAAGGAAGACAGCCCCCAATGGAAGGCATACCTGACCACCACTCAGCAGCTGGTTTTGCAATCAGAGCGGCTGAACCAGGGACAGCAGACATGGCTGGGGCTGCCCCCAAGCAGACCTCACCTGGTGTGCTTTCCAGAGTCTAGAAACACAAAGCAACTCTTCTCTCCTCCCCGGGCAAAGGAGTACTAAGGCTGCAAGAGACAAGGGGGCAAGAAAAGAGCACAGCACCAGCTTCCCAGTATTAAAAAAGGACCCTAACAGGTGGATGGTGAGGTCCTTACTCCTAAAGGGCTCCCGTGGAGAGAAGCAAGTTAATGGGTGGATGGAGACAGCAACCACTCCTGCCTCCCACCCCCATACAATGGAGCAGAAGCCTCTCCCTTCCTTACAAACACAAGGGGAATAACCTTTTTTCTCAGCACACTCTCTCACCTAATCCCCCAAACCACCCTGTGAAGTACACACTAAAAAAGTTTTAGGTGTTAAAATGAAGTAAATGAGCAAGAACTAAGAGTCAGGTGAGGTTTACTGGGGACTAAGATGAGCTGGCAGCCGAGTATGGCATAAAACCTCTGTTAACTAAAAACACTTTCTCTAGGAAATCTAAGCTGCTCGCGCAGGGCTGCACTTGCGATTCCCCTAAAGTTTAAAGAAGGGGCGCCGACTGCTTAATAGAATTTACTCTCCAAAGGCCTTTCCAGGCCCTGAATTCTATCAGGCACAGTATTTCTTTCTCCCACTGCATGATTAAGGTTTTGATTTTTATATGAAACAAAAGCCCCGGAGAGTTCAAAGAGGATTGTTTACAAAAATAAAAGCCAAGAGGCATCAGTATTAATAAAGCTCAACTAAAGAGATGTTTAATAAGCTTTGTGAAATTAAAAACAATGACTAATTCAATCCCAACAACTAGGTCATGCTCAAATTCCAGTAACTCTAAAACTGAGATATAACAAGGCAAGAATTTTGCTTTGCTCCAGTGGTCAAAATGAAGGGCCTATTCAAGGGGAAGACCAGCAATGCAGTGACAATGGGAACGCTTGGGGCACCTGGGGCAGTGGGGAAGGAAGTTGGGACACAGGACATAGCTACATGATCACTACACTACCACCTGGGAGTTTGACAGAATATGTGAACAACAAAGAAAAAAAACATTTCTCACAAAAGACCAAACAGTTATTCAGCCAACATCTGAGAGACTATTACAGAAGCTACAAAGCCTCAGGCGTATCTTCTGCTCCGAGGAGCAAGGGAACAACCTAATCAAAGAGATAGCAGGGCTCAGACAGACACCAGCAGAACAAGGCAAAATGCACTAGGAGCTACACAATGTGCAAGGAATTGAACTCAGGCATAAGGCACTTGACAGGAGCAGGGAAAGGCATCAAGTTAATTAGCAAACGAAAGAACCCAAATCTAAAGACCACTTACCAATTCTCTGTCTACTGCTTTGGGCTGCTCCCCAATCATTCTTAAAAATAACCTTTAATAACCTGGAGAGTAGGATGTTTAGTGAAAAATTACATTGAACCCAAGTTCACTCACTAAAACACACTCTTCCAATTTAAAAACACACAGCATTCATTCAACCGCTTCAATGAACAGCAAAGCACTAGAATCTTGCTGCAGGCCTATGTCCTGGCCTCCGAGTCTTCCTCAATAATCCACATACCCAACCTCAGGAGTATTAGACGTCACAGTGGTAGAAAAGAACAGAAGAACCAATAAATGGCGCACAAGAAGAAAGTTACTCCAGGACACCCAGACAAGCAGGGTGGAGGGAACTGGCTGTCGGCAGCCGGCAGGATGGGCAGCACCTGCAGAAAGCGGGGAGGACTCACACCTGACCTTCAGGCTCGTTATGGGCCTCATTCCAATTCCCAAAAGCATCTCCTGTCACTCAACCCATTTGTCTTAAATGAGACAAATGGGTAATCTCTCTGACCACATAATTAGTTTGTGTTTTTTTAACAAGAACTTTTAAAACCAAGTGGTTGCTGGCTGAGGATTTTCCAAAACATGGCATTTCTTTCATTAATCAAAATAAAAAAAGAGAAACCAAGCACGATACTGCTCTAAGCCAACTATAATTGTGCAGTGCAGGCTGGATTTAATGTCCTAGTGACAATGACAGGGTCAACACAGACTTTTCACAAAATAAGGTTTAAAAATATTAATTCAACTTTACATTTCTTCTGTATAAATCAAGGGAGACAGTAATTTACTTTTTATTTGCGATGTCCCAAAATTGAAAAAAATTTAAATTCCAGGGGTTTTTTTTTACATTGTATCAAAATTGTCAGTTTACAGGGGAACCTGACACTATTATTATAAAATGTAAAACTAAGTAACCAACTTTTCAATGTTTCTAAAGGCAAAATGACTTCTTAAAAAAGACGAAAAGCTACCAATAGATTCAAAGGTTTCTGCCAAGGTAAAATGTATTTCAATAATCTATGGACTAGATGAACATTTTAAATGTATGCCCTAACTAACTGAACACCCAACGTTATAATTCTGTTCCTACATCACCTTCTAATTTTTTATAATTTTAGCTCTTCCCAAATCTTTCAGAAATGTGGCAAATACTAGCAGATGATGGCTATCACAGAAAAATATGAAAGAGGAAAATGCATGTTTTTTTCCTCATTGTCTTAATGTAACAAATGTACTATAATCACCTTTTTCTATAACTTTTATGCCCTCTGCTACTTTTAGAAAAAACAGACTCCTAAACAAAGCAAAAATATAACTTCTTTCTCTGACCATAAATGAAACAGAAATGTACAGCCTATATTGTCAAAACACCTGATGATTTATTCCTATTCAATATATAAGATAATGTTGCCATTTTCAACCATTTCTTTGTTGGTTATGTTGAAAAAAAAGCATCTCTTCCTTAGAGCTTGGATTGCAAATGAGCTGTGCCTCCTTTGACAGGCAAACAGGCCAAATGATAACAAGAGAATAGACTTGTTTGTGGAATTTATGACTATCAATAAAAATAAACAGCTGAGATTTCGGGGAGGGGGAATTCCAGCCTCACTGTTTACTCCTCAAAGTTCTTGGAATTCTTTTGCACAGATCTTTACTTGTTCAATAACCTATGTCTCCTTTTGCTGTTAATAACATCGATTTTACTAATGTTCCATCCTGCTTAAGAATTGGCTTTAGGTAGCTCCTTCAATCAGCTACTCTGTGAATAAGTAACTCTCAACCACTCCATTCAATTCAGTAACACAATAGAGAAATATCTGCTTTCATGAAGAAAAGACAATGGCAAATATAAAACGAACTGAAGCGTCTATCAAGTCTTGGACTGTGAGAAGACACCAGATAATCATACAGAATGGACGGCTCAGTTGACTGGTAACTGAATACGGTGGCTTTTCTCAAGCTGAAGAATGAAACTCAGCCTAGATCTAGGGCGATGGGAAGATGTTACCTTCGGAAATATTGGTGTCTGGTTCCTTCCCGATACTATGACGAGCTGCATTCAGACTGGGACAAAGACCATAGTGGCACAGAGTCTTCCCTTTCATCACCTCTCAGTGTACTCTGGGGGCGGGGCACCGAGAGGAGAAACTGGCAAAGATACTATCATTAGGTTTGTCCTCAGGACACTTGGAATGTTGTTAACCAAGCCTGTGCTCCACAAATATCTGAGTTGTTTAAAGAATTGCTCCAAAGAATGCCTTCACATGTGGGAAATGGACATAGTCCAAGCTGAAGACTCAGGATGCCAATTAACCAGGCTCAGAAGTTCCAGACAACTTGTCCTGGATTCTCCCATTCATTACAGTGGGGAAGGGGGCAAAGGGAGGTGGTA